TAGCAAAGCACAGGGACCGTGGTTCAATCCCCCAGCACCACATGCCAGCCAGTCCCACCCCCTGGTGGGCTGAGCTGGCCACACACACACATAAATAAATAAATAAATAAAATTTTTTTAAAAAAAGACCCAAGGCAAAAAGCTAAAGATAATCAAAAGGAATAAAATAATTCAATTAAGTGTCCAAATAGAAAGCAAATTATAAATATGCAAAAAAGTTACTAGCTTTTCTCTATATCAATAATAAACTATTGTGTGGGGAGATAACTCGGCAATATAAGCACCTCTCTGGCAAGCACATGGACCCAGGTTCAATTCCCAGTACCGCATGCCACACCTGCCCTGGAACCCCAAGTGCACTGTGCTGGCCACTAAAACCAGGCATGGTGGCACATGCCTGTAATCCCAGCTCTAAGTAGGCTGACACGTGAAGATCACTATGAGTCCAAGCTACGTAGCGAGACCCTGTAGCAAATAAATAAATAAATAAATTTTTTAAGGATAGTAATAATAATAAACCATTAAAAATATGATTTGGTAATTATAAAGGTAATAACAGTAAAAAAATACATAAGAGCTATGGATAAATACATATAAACTGCCTAAATTTCCTGATATAGGAATGATAGTATATAAGACATATAGCAAATTTCTGTTCATGTTGTCTAATAATCATAGGAATACTAACAAAGGCTCTATTTTTTTTTTGAGCACTTACTATGTGCTTTAGAAGAAACAAATTGCCATGTTTGAACACAGAGACATCCAAAAATAAGGTTCATGTAATAACCTAAAGCGAGGTGTAGTGGTACACATCTGCATCTCGACACTTCAGGAAGAAGCCGAAGGAGGAAGGTCACCAGTTTGAACCCAGGTTGTGTGACTCAGTGACTGAGCAAGGCTATCTCTAACTAAAAAAATTAAAAAGTCTAAGAATATAGCTCAGTGAAAAGTCTTAAGTTCAATTCATAGTACCACAAAAACAAAAGTGGGGGAGGTACTAAGAGATCCAGCCAACAGCCAGCAAGGAACCAAAGCCTACTTACAACCACTTAAGTGAGCTAGAAACAGATTCTCTAGCTCCAGTAGACTTATCAAATGACTGAACCACTGTCCACCAGCTCTAGTGGAGCCTCATGAGGAATGCAGGAGTCAGCTAAGCTCCTCCTAGCTAGCTGGAACTGAGAGAGCACAAATGTCTGTTGTTTAAAGATGCCATGTTTGGGGGCTGATTTGTTATGCAGTAGGAGATAACTAACACAATGATGGTGTATAAAAATAACAGCACCAGGAATAAAAGAGTACGCACTAAAAGTTGTTAGACTAGCCCAAGACTGAAGACTAGGATCAAGCCATTGACAATGAAAAGGAAAAGAGGTCAGATACAGAAATGGTAAAAAGGGAGGGAGGGGAACTGTTACTTAGGAAAGAAATGTACAAAAATGATGAGGGTAGAAGAATGATGAGGGAGAAACTAAAAATAGTTCTGGAGTGTCTCATTTAGAAGACTGTGATAAAATACACAAAGTCACTGATTCCAAAACCTGAAAGGAAGAAGGAAGAAGAAGAGAAAACCAGCAGGGAATAATCTGGTAAAAATCTTACTGTACCATGAATGGCTACTGTGATGTCAAGTAGGGAAAGAGTTGCAAGTGCAGTTAGAATCTGGGAGGCTGTTTCTGTAGTGTGATCGAAGACACAGACCACTTAAGAGCCGAAACAAAAGTGGAAGTTGGCCATCTAACACTAGTAGCCACAGGACACTCTTTCAAGAACTCTGATATTTAAGGAAAGGAAAAAAACTTATTGGAAGCTATTTGGGACTAAAGTGAAGAACTGAGGGGAAAGTTTTGCTTGTGTGTTTTGTTGCTCACTGGTTGGTTTCATGGCTTCTTGATTCTGTTTTAGGACTAAAAGATTTAAACATGTCCTACTAACCTTTTAGAAACTGTCTCAATGCTATGTCTTTCTCAATAAAGTTAATATTAAAGAAGATCAAAAATAAAAAATAAAAGATTTAAATATGTTAAACTGAGCAAGCTATACGAGAAGACAGATTGAAGCTCTAAGTGTGAGTGTGTGTATGTGTGTGTGTGTGTGTGTGTGTGTGTGTGTGTGTGTGGTGGGAGACAGAGAGCAAGAGACAGAGAGTCAGAGAGAGGGAAAGGAGGGAGGGAGGGAGGCATTGTAAGGGCCCAGTGATTGGGAGCTTGGAGGAGGGAACTTTCTCTCTACCTAAAGTGAGAGCAGAGCGGGAAGAATGGAGAAGCCCAGTCAGAGTGGAGTTTAGAAACAGAAAGAAGGTGAAAGGAGACTCTCATCCATGAGATCTGTTTTCTCAGGAAGGTAAGGCCACCAGAATAAGGTATTGAATAGCAGAGGAGAGCCTATGAACACAGAAACAGTTTGGAAGACCTGCTTTGGAGCAGACAAGAGACTGCTAAGCAATACTGAGGGCTCAACAGTGGTTAAAAGCAAAACTCCTTAGCTTTGACAACTGGCACACGCATCCCATTTTCCTCCCTCAGTCCTTTGCAAAACATAGTCATTTCTCTTAAATGGTGTCAGTTACTCTTCTCTCTTGTTGCTGGGACAGAACACCTGACACTCTAAATTATGGAAGGAAAGGTTTGTTTATTTATTTAGCTCACAGTTAGTGGAGGTTTCAGTCCATACTCAGCTGGCTCCAAGGCAGAGCAGCACAAGGCAGAAGACAACAGCTCATGGTGGTGGAAAACATCAAAGAGCAAAGGCAAAAGGGAGGAACAGTGGCAGCAGTGGCAGAGGCAAGCCCCCTCCCTTCCCTCTATTGCCTTCAGGCTATCTGCCCCAGGGTGGAAGTACCACTCACACCCATAATCCCTGCAGTCCTAGACCCATAATTCCAGTTTGGAATCATGAATTAATCACAAACTCTAGAGACCCCAGTGACTGCATGAGGCTTTGGGGAGACAACTAGAAACAAAACATAACAAATATTAACGTTAAATATCTAAAGAAAATCTATACTCAGTATTAACATTTAAGAGCAGAAGTATCAAATATCTGAATTTCACAGAAAAGGAACCTAAATGGATGCAGTGGTGCCTTGCTTCATGCAAACTTATCTGCAAACAATGTGGTTCACAAACAGAAGCCTTAGGCAAAATTTTGTTTTTGTCTGCAAACTCTGCCTCCTTTGACAAACATAGCTATAGGCATGTTTCCCACACAAACACATGGGTGGCCAGATTTCCCAATATTATAAACCAAATTACACTCATGGACCATGTTATTCACAAACTTGGAAAAGCCAGATTCCTTGAGATGTTAACGTTCTGAGCTTGCATGCATTGGTAAGTTTGGAGCAGGAAACACAAGAAAGCAACGTAACAAATGTAAAAAGAATAATGTCTACAAACATACTGATAATAAATAAGCATACGCTAGATGTATCTGCTTCAGAGAATGTTAAATTTTATCTCTAGTCATTATCTAAATGCTAGAAACTAGAGAAAAACTCCTAATGGTATTTTATTTTTAATTTCTTTAGAAATTCCTAAAAGTGGTCCCTATATAATGGGCTGGGACAGAGTTTTTATAGTTCAGAGATCTCTAGCAAGTGCTAGATTGCTTACATCAAAATCTCAGCAATTAACTGGGCATGATGGCACATGACTACATTCCAACACTCTGGAAGGCTGAGGCAGGATTGAGAGTTTGAATCTAACCTGTGCAACTTAGTGAGAAACCAGTCTCAAAATAAAAATTTAGAAGACTGGAATGTAGATCAGTGTGAAGGCTCTGAGTTTAAGTTCCACTATGAAAAAAACAAAACAAAACAAAATTCTCACCAATGAAGATGGAGGTTATTATATATGAATTATAATGTAGATTTCATCTTTGTTTGGAGTCAAGGCCTTATTTGTGTTAGCCCCTGTAAATGAAACTAAATAATACAACAACAATTAAACTATGATATTTGTGATATTAGATGGGGATTAGGACAAATTTTGTGTTTGAGGGACTGAAAAGCAAGCTGAAAATTGCCACCCAGCCACCAACCCAAGCCCAAGTTCTTCATATTAACTTAAATAAAAGGTTAAGGAAGGACCAGGGAGATATATCGTTCAGTGGTAGTGCCTGGCTCTGGTAAATAGGAGGCTTACAAAAAAAAAAAAAAAGAAAGAAAGAAAGAAAGAAAAGAAAAGAAAAGAAAAAAACCTCTTTTTTAATTAAAAGGTTAAGGGAAAATGACCAGAGTAGACAAAAATGTTTTTCTAAGGACTTCTTCCTTTGTCTGAAGGGGAAACATGAAAAGGTGAAAGTAGACACTAGCCTGTTTGTAGGTAAACAATAGACCCAACTCTGAGCTTTTGCCCTTACCTACTATAACTAGATGCTGCCACCTACTGGACAATTTACAAGTGCTTTTACATACTGCTGTTTTCCTAACCCACAAATATTTTACTCAAAAGTTTATAGAGATTTTTGAACTTATGTGTAAACATAAGAAGTATATAATTCTTTTTAAAATATATTCTAATTTTTAAATGTTTTTATCATATTCTGTAGGGACTTAAAGTTCAACATATCAATACAAGAGGAAAAATACCTGTTCCATATTATGCCTAAGATGTTTGATTTGCAGACAGATAGTGAGGTTAAGCTTAACAGCCTAAGTTGTAAAGTAACAACAATAAGCTTGTCTTCTGGATGGTTAACAACCTAAGTTTGCAGACCAAAATTAGATGAAAAGGAGGGCTGCAAGGAAAGTCAACATTTTGGCCCTAGCCTTCCAAGGTCAATTAAGACTCAGGACATATGAGAACTTGTACTATAACGTCATGTAACTCAGTAGTGTTCCAAAATTTCTGATCAAGAAGATTATGGGACCAAAGAGAAAAGTGATCAATGATGTAGAGTGTGCCTAAGGAGAGTCCCATGGAGAGAAAACATTCTCTCAGGCTTTCACAGAGAGCACACTGGCCAAGCAATGGCCATGACTCCTCCACATGGCTGACACTGACCAAGGTTCTACAATCTGAGGTACAGGATCTCAGGATAAATCCTGAGGGGATTTCACTGACCTTATCAGACCCAAAAGCTACAACTCTTGTTGCATAGGTCCTGCTTTACCTTGGTCTTAACCATCCAGCAGAAAAGTGTAAAAACTGAGTATAAGAAGTAAAGCCATGCTGTTATGTTGAGCTGTAGGGGACTCAGGTCAACAATTTCTGACATTGCCAGTCAAGCAGAAGACCCAATACTATTATGGACTACTGGACTCTTTTAGAATATTTTGCTGAGTTTACACACCTATAATATTTAAATGATGGAACTTAACAAAAAAAGGGGGATACAGATAAATGTCCATTTTGTATCTATGTATTCAAAGTGGTTAGGATAGATATATAGTTACATTCTCTTAATGAATAGAGGGATTTGTTCTAATGGTGTTTGTAAATAGGATCTCATGTCCGCATCTTGTACAGCAATTAACCACTAGGAAGAATGTATGCAATGTGTTAATTATTGAAACTGTCCTACCAATTTGATTTGAAACTGTCTCATTGCTATTTGTTTATCAATAAAATTATGGGGAAAAAAAAACAGAACACATTTTTTTTAGGGCCGGGGATTTTGCCCTGACATATATGTATCTGACTGATACTCACACAACTCCCTGTTGTCTCTCTGGGGTCACATGACTGCTGGCGACTGCTAAAGTGTTGCAGCACCTGCACAGCAAGCACAAGTCCTGACTTGGATTTCTGGTACAAAAAAAAAAAAATTAAACCCATAGATTTTTAATTTTTTTAATTTTAATTAAGTCTAGTAAGTAAAGTTCAATGAGTTATCAGAAAATTTATCTCAAATGGAGCAGATATGAGTACTTTACAGTATGTAGCTATGTTGGAATAGGAATGATGAGACCAAAAAATCAGTGTTTTGTGATCAACCTGGAGTTGTGCTTTTCACTCTTTTCTTTCAGGCCTGCAGTGACAATACTCTGCTACAAACACTATTCTTAGGCTAGTAAGTCTAAAAGTTTCCTCTTTTAGAATAAGATAATAATTACATAAAATGTTCTTTAAAATGTAATTAGGTTGTGAATTACATTTTAAAGAACACTTTATGTAATGTCAAAGGCCATATGAATGCCTTTGATATTTTAAGATGCTTAAATAATCAAATATGTGTTAATACATTTTCAATATTGTTGAATACATGCTTATGATGTAAAGAGCCAGCAGAACAATTAATTCCTTAATGAATTAACCTTTATGCAATTGAACAGTAATTAGAAAAAATGCTTTAAGGCCAGTGAGACAGCTCAAGGGGCTAAGCATCTGCTTAGGCAAGTGCAAGGACCGGAGTTCAATCCCCGGTACTACACTGAAACTTTAATACAATGTTCAAAGTGATGATCTTCTCTGAACATAGCTCTCAAGCTTCCTTTACTTATAGCTTTTGGCTCACTAGGTCTACCTGATGTCCATGAGGGAACAATGATACTAATCTAACATTGCTGGAAATGTCTACAACAGTCATGTGCTCCTAGAGAGACTCTATGGGTATTAGCCAGATACCTATGGCACACACAAGCTTTAAAACCTAGATGTAGTGGATAGTTTTGATTTGATTCTGGGAAAAAAAGACAACTGAAAACAAATATTTATAAAATAGACTACCCAAATGTTACTTCTATAACAAAGCAGAAGCAGAAAGTAAATGATGTATTATTTTAATATAGGCCAGCTTATATTGGTTGGTGTTTCATTTAGGACAACATAAATGACAAGGTAAATTTCAATCAAGTCACTATAGCTATGGATCTATGTAGTGAAAACCTAGAAATTTTCATTTTTTAAAGTCCTTAATTATAAAAGAGGCAACTCAAACACTTACCTTCTTCAAAATAAATATTTGATGCACTCCAAACCCAAGTCTCCAAAACCCTAGCACCAAAATGGTAAACCTACCATACACTCACCACAACAGGCTGTTTGTACCATTAGAAGCCCTGAAAGATTCACCAAAACTGCCCTAGCAGTTTCCAAGTGCTCAAAATTGCATCTAGAAAGGAAAACCTTAAAGTCATATTATTCATACCAAAGTTCCTTGCTAAACTGTTTTGGTAAAATGAACCAAGTTCATACGATTCTAAATTGTTAGACATCATTGTATAAAGAACAAAAACACCCCAGTGTTGCCTGCTTTGAGTAAAGCTGGATGACTGCCAATGGGATGCAGGTTTCAAGGATTTCAGATTATCCTGCCAAAACACCAAGTGTCGCTAGTCCCTAGAATGTCCATGTGTATGATAAGTAAAAGAGTATACAACTACATATATTTCTGTTTAAAAAGAAAAATTTCACAAATATATATATATATATATATATATACACATGGGGGAAAGTAGAAACCTATGTGGAGAATCCAGTGGATGGTCTCCAAGAGCAGGACTGTGACAGAAGAAAACACAGAACAAATTAGAAACTGAGTTTTATGAAAGGGTGACACAGGCCAGAGACACTTGGTGAGAGAATCCTAGGTAGTTACAGGATCAGCAGCAGCAAATTTCCTCCTGCCCTGTCACCCTTAAGCAGATACAAGCCCTTAAAGAAACTGCAGCATTCTCCACACAACCTGCCTAATACGATCAGTTATTTCCCCTAAAGAGAAGGGTCAGACTCACCAAGAAAAGACAAATTTTGAGTTGGGGATCTAACTTTAAACCAAATATGTTATGACTCTGAGACTAGAAACAAAGATGAATGGCATCTCCATCTACTCACCAACAGCTTGTTCCGACGCAGCAGTCAAAGAAAAAAATTTTTTTGTATTTTCCATTTCCTCATTACTTTGCAAAGCTTCTCTATGTTTTACAGACTAGTGAAAGAGAAATTAAAGTTTAAACATAGTAAAGGAAGGTAAATATACACATTGATTTTTAAAAATTCTAACCTAGTTTCCAATCATGTACATATGAAGGAGAAGGATCAGGCTATTTATATTCCTTCAAGCAGAAAATTTGTTAGTATGTTGTTTTTATAAAGTTCTGTCAACAGCAATCCCCAGGTAGAGTTGAAGGTTACACAATGCTTAAAGTATCTGTTAATTATGTTAATTACATGCTGAAAGTATCTGTCAAGATATTTTTATAACTAATAACCTACGGGTATGCTATTAATTGAAATTTCAGGCATTTCACATTTAGTACTGCATTTTAATATGCAGTACTGACATTTAGAACTCTTGTTTTGAAGGAAGTAGAACTTTGGATTTCAATAGGAAAAAAGTGATAGGCTTTTTCTACCAAAATTACAGGCATTATTTCTCTAACTTAAGAAACTACATTTTGGGGGGGGCCGGGAAGACAGCTCAGTAGAATAAGTGCTTGCCTGACAAGTGCAAGGGCCTGAGTTCAATCCCCAGTTCTGCCAAAAAAAAAAAAAAAAAAAAAAAAAAAAAAAGAAAGAAAGAAAGAAAGAAAGAAAAAGAAAAAGAAAAACAAAGAAAGAAAAAGAAACTACATTTTGATAGTGTTCTCTTTCTATCCCAGTGGTATTCCTAGAAACCTCCTCCGAAGTCAGTCAATAATTATGGATGATTCTATCAAAAAAAAAAAAAAAAAAAAAAACCAATGTTATTGTAAGGTCCTTTGTTTTACAGATGCTCTTTTTAGTTCTTTGAAACAGGGTCTTGTTTTGTAGTTCAGGCTGGCACTGAATTTACTATGTACCTCAGGCTGGCCTTTAACTCACAGCAATCCTCCTGTCTCTACCTCCCAAGTGCTGAGATGACAGGCATGTGCTACTATTCCTAGCAGATACTTTGTTTTTTTTTATCTTATTTAGACACAAATATCAATGAGACAGTTTCAAAGCTGATTAACAGGATATTTTCAATAATTAATACCTTGTACATTATTATATTCTTAGTGGTTATCCATAGTACAAGATGCAGACAGGATATCCTGTCTAAACACTATTAGTACAAATCTTTCTTCTCATTAAATTAAGAAAAAGTAGCTGTATATCCTAACTATTCTGTATATATGAATACAAAATAGTCCTTCCTTTGTATCCCTTTTTTTTCTAACAGATACTTTGATTTGAGAGGCAAAATTCAAATGAGTCGATGGTTATATGCCAAGTCAGGGCCAACATACAGTCAACCTCACCTACTCACTACTACACAGAAGAGATCCACAAAGGCCAGGTAAAGTTAATGAAGTACCAGGAATTTGTTGAGACAGAAGTAGACAGAACATGGCCCAAGCCTCAAGCATTCATGCCTTTCTTTAAGATCCTGACCAGTGTATGGACAATGAACTTCCCAACTTGTTGACGATAAACGTTACTCAAATAATAATGCTAACCAGAGGATGAATTATTATGCATTTTTCTGTTTCTCCCCAAACTATAAGTTCATTGTGGAGAAAGCAAAGGCTTAATGAGAGTAACCACAACACTTCCAGAGATGGAGAAGCCTCAGCCCAACACCGATAAGGAAATCTGCCTGGCCTGTGCATGCGTGAATGAACATACCAGGCAGGGGCCAAATCTGGAATGCTGCAGACCAAGTTATGATCTCTAGTTCATGAAAAATGTCACTTTGTGCACACATATGCGCATGCGCACGCGCGCGCACACACACACACACACACACAGACTACTGTCATCAGTTCTACAGAATAAATCAATAAAGGCAAACCACATTAATGCTACCACAGTGGCTGTGTTTCTTACTCATCTAGAGAAACTGTTGCACATTAGAATAAAGTTACACAGTTCTGGGCTGGTGAGATGGCTCAGTGGTCTAAAGCACCTACTTAGAACAAGCTTAGCAAAGCACAGGGACTGCGGTTCAATCCCCCAGCTCCACATGCCAGCCTGCCCCGCCCCCTGGTGGGCTGAGCTGGCCACACACACACACACACACACACACATAAATAAATAAATAAAATTTAAAAAAAAAAAAGTTACACAGTTCTCACCTTAAGTTCTTTCCAGAGCTTTACTCGCCTTTCCAGACTTTGCTTCTTAATTTCTTTTTCTCTGTACTGTTTCTTTGCCAATATTTTATCAAGTCTTTTCATCTTACGAATAGCAGCTTGAAGTTGAGAATCTAATTCTTTTAATTTGGTTTCATCTGTATTGTTTTTAAAACAGGAAAGGGTTTAAAGTTTTGTAAAACAAAAGGTTTTATTTTTACTCTTTGTTCTTTCCTTCAACACATACTTATGGCTGGTGATAATAACTGTTATACTGGTGTCATGGAACTAAGTTGAGTCACAAGATGGCTTCATATGTGTTTTTTCATATAATTATGTAAAAAGCCTGTGAAATAGATATTTACCTCTATTTTATATTGAGGTGTCCTTTCAATAAAGCTAATAAGTTACAGTACTGGACTAAGAAATGGTTTTCTTATCATTTAAATCCCAATCTATTTTTTTCTGCATACTGCTTATTGTTTCTATACCCATAACTAACAGGAAGTAAGGAAAAGGACACAGGCCCTACCTATAGCTGCTCCAGACCAAGTGAAAGAGCAAGTGTGGATGCAGAAAGCTACAGCAACGAGTGATGGACATAAAGGAGAGTGGTTCCAACACACAGTAGAAACAGACTCACATACTGTATGTAGGTAGACATGTTTCCTTCTATGCTCTTCCAACTTTTCTAGTTTCTTAAAGCAACTAAAAATATTCTAAATTTATAAATAATTGATTGTGACTTCTTTAAAATTAAGGACATTAGTACTTTTGCATTCAAGTTTACTTACAATTAATGATAATGAGAATGCCAGCTAATGTTTATGGAGTTACCTTAGGTACAGTATTAAGTGCTTTATTTACATATTACTTAAATCTCATCTTAACACTGTGAAGCAGTGTAATCTTTGTCATCTTACAAACTATGAAATTCAGTCTACTTTGTACTTGAGTGACACACACATCCCAGGTAGTACAATCAGTAAGTGACAGAGTCAGTTTTTAACTCAAATCTGTCTTACTCCAGAGCAAAAGTTCTTAGCCACCAATCAGTACTCCTCTGTGAAATCAAATGAAAGTTAATAATCTGGCAATGAGCATAATATTCAAGTATGAAATCTCCACCACTCCAGACTACATCATTAAAAACTGTACATTGTAATGGTCGATATATTACGTCAACATCAGAAATTTAGAAGCTTAACTAAGTAACTCAGCAGGTCTATATCCTAGGGTGTAAAAGACATGCCCTAGGGCAGCTGTTCACACAGTGGGAGGTTGTAGTAGTAGATGCATGGTATCAAGTTGATAAGTTTAGAAGTTTAACTAAGTGACTCAGCAGGAGGCCAGGATCTTCACTAAGATATCCTCAGCCTGAGAAGAACACAGAGATAGCCTGGGTGTAAAGGACCCACCCTAGGGCAGGTGGCCTGCATATAATACAAGGGAAGAAAAGAGACTTGCTTTTCTCCCTTTTTGCTCTTGTTACTTTTGTTATCTTCTACCATCTTCAACTGCTGCCCTGTGCCATGCTATCCTGCCTTGGAGTTAGCTGATTACAGACTGAAACCTCCATGAACTGTGAGCAAAATAAACCTTTCCTTCCCTAATTTTGTGAATATTTTGTCTCAGCCATGAGAGAAAAGTAAGACATATACCATACTAAGTAAGGCCAATTTTAACAACTTTTGAGATCTAACAAGTTTAGTGATGCTTATCTGTAGTGTATATTACTTCCTCTTTAAGAAAAAAAAAAGAAGATAATTTTAAAGGATAGAAGCTTATCAAAAAAAAATCAAACTTATTAATAAGGAGGCTCCTCACATATTACTGCTTACATACTTCAACAATGCAGTAGCCTCCAAGTCTAATTCCCAACTTCCAAGCCGAGCATTCTTGGGCCCCATGTACACAGGTAGTCCACATACCAGAAATTTGGAAGTAACTCACACAGTACTAAAAATATATAAACAAATATTACCATGGGAACTGAGCTAACACTAATCTCAACTACAATACCATCTCTCCTTGCACTGTAATCCTGAGTCACCTGCCTTAACTTTCAGAGCTGCTGTTATCCCAAATATATTCTAAATCAGCAGTTCTCAAACTTTTATCTCAACTCTGCTTTAGAGTCTCATAGATTATTGAAAGTCAAAATTTATTTTTGTATATGTAGGTTATAGTTATTTACAGTTACCACATTCGAAATCAAGACTGCTAGGAGTGGTGGGCTATGCCTGTAATTTCAGCAGTTAGGTACCAGGAATTGAACTCAGGACCCTGCATTTGCCAACCAAGCACTTATTCTACTGAGCTATCTCCCTGGCCAGAACACTAGGTTTAAATAAGACACGCAGTTGGGAAAAGGAAGAGAAATTTAATAGCTTGGGTAAGGGGATACACCAAAATTTGATAGGGATAACTTCTTAAAGATTAGTTATAATGTGAAATATGTCATTATCATCAGTGAGATTTTAAATGTTTTTCCATTAAAATTTATAAATCTACCATCTTTCGTGATGAATGGATCTTTCACGCTGCACTGATCACTTGGAAAATAATGGCTAACAGAATTATGCAGACCTCCAAAGTAGGCAGGAACACATTGCATTATACAATATCAAAATTCTTATTTTTAATATTCCCAGCAATTTTTATCAGAAAAGTCTAAGTATTGGAATTCTATCAAGTTCATAATGATATACACTCTTCAAAATTTCTAATTTTCATTTGAATGCTTAGACTTTACCATTAGCAGCAAATACTATCATTAATTTTCCCTCAAGTAAAAGGCTCACTTTATCTTATCTTAAAAAAGATGTACCAAATGCCCAAGTCTGAATAACAGTAGTTTCACTCTTGTTATTTCAGATAAAAATGATATTCCACTAAACGGTGGCCAGCTGAGCTCACTTTAGCAGCACATACAGTAAAAGAAGCCAGCACAGCTTACGAGCTATCACATAAGTGCTTTTCTTCAACACAATCCTCCTACTTCAATATACACAAAATTGTTTTATGTCTATTTTCCCTTCTGCCCCACAGAATAACAAGATGATGTTTTTAGGGTCAAGATTTTAGAAAATTAATATGTCCTACTGCTTCATCAAGAACAATCATGAGTGACACTAATTTTTTTTTTCTTGCTGATACCTAGTAACAAAGAACAATGCCTCCAGCACAATTTTGTTCCACTGTCTTTTTGTTTGTTTGTTTGGTGGTACCAGAGATTGAACTCAGGACTTTGTGCTTGCCAGGCAAGTGCTTATTCTACTGAGCTATCTCACCCACCCTTGTTCCATTGTCTTGATCCATGCTAAGGCACCAGCAGTTCTGCCCACTGTTACTTTTATACCCCTGGTGGCAAATAATAAGTCAGTGGGCAAGACAGCAAACAGAATCTCAGTGTTCTTAAGCAAACGGAGTCCCTCATACCCATGGAATGTAAACAACGTGGGACAGCAACTCTTTTAATTCAATCTGACCAGAATTTATTTAATATCTTGCGGGGTAAAGTAGCTTTTAAGAATCTAAGCGCTGGGGCTGGGGAGATGGCTCAGTGGAATAAGCGCTTCCTTGGCAAGCGCAAGGGCCTGAATTCAGTCCATGGTTCCACAAACAAAAAAAAAAAAAAAATTCTACGAAGAATCTAAGTGTGATCAATTTTAGAGATATTATCTCTAAAAGAGTATTGATAGATGATAGGTACCTTTCATTGTCCAATTTTAGACATCATGTTATAGAATCATAACTTTCCCTACTTGATTAATTAGAAATGAGCACAATAATAATTTCATTAGCGGACTGGGGAGATAGTTCAGTGAAATAAGTGCTTGCCTGGAAAGCGCAAGGTCCTGAGTTTGATCTGTGGTATCACAAAAAGAATAATAACAATAATAATTTCATTAAATGACATATTTTATTACATTTATAAATGTATTGAATGAGTCTTAAATGTAAAAATGGATGATTTCTCACAAAAGTACAGTTTGGGGTTATTATTTCTACTTAGCTAATTAAAAGCATATATAATTCTAATATATTGAATCTAACATCTTAACATTAGCCAGTCACTTTGTGATTAGTCTACCTGAATGCTCAGGGATTATCTGACGTTGAATCAAGTTCATATCTTCACCTGAGCCCTCTTCGGCCAGCTTTATTTTTCCAAAACAGTCTGTGCTTTTATCATCCTTACTGCCTCTTCTCTCCTCTGTATTACTGCCTCCTGAGTGGTCCTCTTTACCAGAATTTAACTTGCTTGTAGTTTGAACCTGAAAGTAAATTTCAAAACATAATGTGTTTTCTTACACCTTAACATTTCAGAATATTTAATACTAATGGAAGCCTATGTGGAGACAGATATGAATAGGTATACTTGCATTAAAGTACCTAGAAATATAAATTTTTAATTAAATGTAATTTAAATACACAATTAACTTTAATAACATTTATACCCACTAAGTGCCATTCTTCAGCAATCTCTAGCAGCTTTGGAAAAGAGCTTCAATCCATCTGCCAGGCTCTGGGAATGACCAAAGATGGACCTCACTCTGAGTTTATACTGAGATAGTCCAAGGTCTAGAACTAGCCTGTCCACTGTGACTCCAAAACAGCTGAAAAGTGATGATCCAAGTTGTGATATTCTTCTAATGACAGTCTTCAAATCAGAATCATGTGCTATAGTTATTTTTACATTATTCAGTTTTTCTGTCTTTTTTTCATTTCCCTTTAAATTTTAGTAAAGTTAATCTTGGAAGAAAAAAAAACAGTTTGACATAGTTGTGTTTTCCTTTTTTAAAAAAAAATTTTTTTTTAATTTTATTTATTTCTTTATTTATTTTTGTGTGTGTGTGGCCAGCTCAGCCCAGCAAGGGGCGGGGCTGGCTGGCATGTGGTGCTGGGGGATTGAACCGCGGTCCCTGTGCTTTGCTAAACTTGTTCTAAGTAGGTGCTTTAGATCACTGAGCCATCTCACCAGCCCCAGTTGTGTTTTCTTGAGGAAAAAGAAAAGACAGACATGGCGGGATGAGGAGAAAACAAGGGTTCTGAGGTCATCGTGTGGCAGTAAAAACACCAAGAAGTGAACACTGCCCAAGGAAGAGGTGAGTTCCCACAGGAGGCCCCAGCCGTCTCAATGAAGGATCCCTCCACTCAGCCCCTTCAGCTCTATCATTTGAAAGTTCCCTGTGCTCCTCTGCCCACAGGCTTATTCTCCACCACAGCAATGTGCAGTCCCCTTGCAGAGCTCAATGACAGAAAACCAGTCATGCAGAGAAATGAACTGCAAGGGATACAGCTCATGGGTGCAAGTGTTTCTCTGCCTGGCCCAGAACATAAACCCAGCAGAACCAAACTCCGCAAGATTGAAAGCAAAAGTGGTACCTAAATTTCTGAGAGGAAGCTGGAAAAATATAGTAAAAGTGGCCATCTCTACATGTCTGGTCACAAACTCTGTGATCCTAGGGGGCTTGGGCAGTACCAGAAGCAGCAGCAAAAGTAGCTTTCTGGTCTTTGAGTTATAGTCACACTGGTGTGACCTGGAGGCCCTGTCCACCGATGATCTTTCCTGCTGACCTTCTATTTTGAGAAACTGGCTTGTTGTGTCCAATACTTTTTCGCTAGAAATACCTGAAGTACTATTTCTTATACCAATTCATGACAGACAAAATCTCTAATAGTTTTATAATGCAATATCTAATCTATAAATTTTTAAAAAATTAGTATGGATTCATTTAATTTTCAGAGATTTTTTTTCACCATAAGTTTCCAAAACTTTTTCCTACAACCTAAAAAGAAATAAACTGTACTGTATCAACAAGAGGAAACCAATTCTTTTATAAAAAACAAAGATTAAATAAATTCTGAAAGGTATAATAGATACAATAAAATGGAAAGGAACAACATAAGGAATAAACAATGAAGATGAAGAAAAGGAAAAAAAGGGGAGAAGGGAGGAAAATCATGCAAGCATATGTACAGCACAGCTGAGATGACTGTACTACTAATTCCATAAGTTCTTTGAAAACAGCAGTTAATGTTTAAATTTTTCACTTTGATCAATTCTCTATGCTAATATTTGTAATCTGAGCAACTACACTGAAGACAGCAATGTGCAATACAAAAACTACTGTTGAATGCCTCTCCCCTTGTTCTTCTAAATGTGTACCATTTCTAATGTCTTATCAAATATTATTATACTCTTTTTAAGATAAATTTTAAGAATACAAAAGTAAAAAGGACAAGAAAAAAATTAAGGTTAATTGAAAGCAAGCATTACTATTCAATTATTTGTCTAATCTAGCACACCTATGTCTATTAATTTGAACAACAGATTTAATGATAAAAATATGTAATATAACAACCATTGTTAGTTTGCTATTATTGTTTTGAAAATCTGTATTATATGTATTTGTATGTTTAAAAAAGGATTAAATAGGGCAGGGGAGATAGCTAAGTAGAATAGGCAAGGTCTGAGTTCAATCCCCGGTACTGCAAAAAAAAAAAAAAAAA